AAAGAGTGTCAATTTTGGGTAATCCAGTTATTCGTGTAGGATTGATAAACAGAGGAACGAGATTTACAGTGCTGTGTTACTATACATTACACTGTTACCCAAGCAGCTATTTAGCTCGTTGCACAGTCCCACAGAAGTGACACAACATATAACAATGTTTAGCTTATTAAAAAAAAAAACAACCACAAACCCACAAACAGGGTCCTTATTCAAAGACCTTTAAGATATGAAAAAAAGGTTATCGTATACAATGAATTATACATACTTCAAGCAGCCCCAAAGAACAAATACGTATGTGTTTTAGGAGAATTTGCCTGGAGAAGGACTTACCTAATGAAAGCTGCTATGTGTTAAAACATGCCTTAGCTCACAAATACAGAGAGCTACAGAACAGGTCACATGAAGACCAGTCTACAAAATCTATCTCAGAATTTGCCTTTTCTTTATGTAGACACTCTCACATATTTTACAACACTGGAAACACATCCTCATGTGTGTCAGCAATAGCTGTGCTCCCAGCTGCACTGTCCCAGGCGCAGACAGGCAGCAGCACCATCCTCACCAGTAGAGCTGCATTGTGCTTGAAAATTGGGGGCGGGGAGGAAGACCACCAGGCATACAGCAATGGTTTCTGTCCAGGGGTCACAAGGTACCAAGCCTACTCCTCAAAGCAGACACAGTATGTACTAAGCTTAGCCTTGTCTCTGGACACTTTTCACTTCCTGGCTGGCACTAGTACTGTTCTGGACTTCACAGCACTGCAAGAAACATTTGTAGAAACTGACTTTTCCAAAGTCAAATCATCATGACCAAGTTAGAAAACATTTCCATATGAAGGCAATATATACATATAAAAAGGCAAAACAGAACACGTAAAAAGGCAAAACAGAACACAAATTAAAACCGGAATGCTGTTTTAACTTTCCACCAGCAGGTCACGCAGCCAAAAGCAGTAGCTGTAAGCAAAGGACTGTATACATGCCATGCCAAGCAAGCCAGGAACTTGTGGTACATGTAACTACTTAAGTCCTCGGCTGAGAAGTCAGAATTGACAGGAACGTTAACGATGTACAAGAAGCGAAGGCAGGACAGAGTCTTGGTGAAGGACAGGGTGTTTAATACAGGCAACCAACGCTCAGCTAAGAAAGTCTATTCCCCCTCCCGCTTTTGCATTCCTAGGGCCAACAGAGGATCTGGCAGGTCAAGCCCAACCCGCACAAAGCCTGCTCCGGGGGAAGAGCATCCTACCCCCGACCTGGGAAACGGAAAACGAAAGAAAACAACTGTTGTGCAACCCGGCTCACCCCTCGCTGCACCCCCCGGTTTCCACAGCCGGGGCCGTCCG